GGTTGGAGGCCATTGCTCTTAGGTTGGAGGCCACCGCTCTTATAATATAGGTTGGAGGCCATCGCTCTTGGGTTGGAGGCCATCGCTCATTGGTTGGAGGCCATTGCTCTTGGGTTGGAGGCCATCGCTCTTGGGTTGGAGGCCATTGCTATTAGGTTGGAGGCCACCGCTAGTAGGTTGGATTGCAACAACTGTTCTGCGTCTTCAGTGCTCCATCCAAAGGTGCGACCGGGAGCATGGAGCATGGAGGCTGCAAAAAAGCGATGCCTCGCCCCAGTCCATTGACCCCCGTCTCTCAGGCTGACCGCAAAGCGACCCCAATGTGCCTGCCACGCTGAAAAGGCCTCAGGCTGCGGCTTAGACAGGGATTTGTTCAGCTACACCACGGAAATTTCGAGGTTTCAAATGGTTTCAAGGTTCCTGGCCACTTCCTCAACTGCGTTAGGGCACTCAGCTACTGCTCTCCCTTACACCTTGCTGCATTGCTATCAATGGCATGGTTGAGGAATGTTGAGGAGATAGCTCTCACAAGCTCCCTACAAACCACTGAGACGTGTTCAAGTACGATATCCATAATTCCAACCACTGAAAGTAGCAGCAACTGGCAACCCAGGTTGTCATTTTGCATGGTAACTAGTGTGCACTCAGGCCTGGAAGCCCACGAAGGCAACCACAACTGATAGGCCTAGCCTGGAGCAAAGGGGCTCTCTCATGGCAGTCCAATGTCTGGCAAGAATTTGATCAAAGTTGCAAATCAAATGACTACTTGGGATGATTTGGATGATTTACTTGGGGATTTACTTGGATATGTTGGATGATTTACTTGGGGGATCACAGGAGTTGACCTCTTTGTTTGCTTGCTGGCGATGCAGGGCGCGATGCAGGGCTGCAGTTGGTCCACAGGTGGCAGAATGCCCACACACGACCCTGAACACATTGGCGACCACGAGCAACCGTTTTTGAGACCACTGGGACCTGGCTCAGGGGTGAACTCACTTTTCGCTGATGTCAGTGAGGCACGGTGAGGGCTGAATTGGTGCATATGTTCAACTAAACACCAAGTGTGTTCAATAAAGATTCCAACTGTTTTCCTGTCAACTCTCAGGCTCTCCAGTTGAGAAGGAGCGTTCACAGGTGGCCACCGTGTTTTTCTGTGGCTGATTAGCCTGGCAAGGCGCTTCATCCATGGCAAGCTCTGCTCAAAAATGCGTGGAAGGGAAAGCACACTGGATTTTGTGTGGCCGTGAGGTTACATCCAAAGGTGTGGGTACTGGTATACTAGTGATTGCTAGTATATATCGCACAAACATGCGGTCTTTTGGAAAAAATGCAATGCATACATGGGTTGCATGCATGTTTTCTCATACGACTGTGTCCTCATACCCGGGACACCATCAATGGTCTGGTTGCCTATTTGGCAAAGAGTGGATCTCATCGGGCCGGATGATGTGGCATGGTTCCAGCTGGCATGGTTGGCCCGCAATTCTGAGCTTCGGCTGCACATGTGCACTCTGATTGCCCATGTGGTGTTTTTTGCATATAGAGCTTTGTTCTTGACATATATTGGAGCCAAAGCTGGCAGCAAAGGGAGATCTGTCACTATGCTAAGCGCCGACGAGCTCAGCAAGAGCTAATGAGATTTAGAATGACTTGGAGATAGAAGGGCTGCCCACTTCTCTATTCCGGAATGCCTTGTGACAAAACTCAGCAATGGCTAGCTAGAATTCTGATGATATCCAACATGTGACTTTGACATCTGCAAGGATGTGCATCCAAGCAGGACCGCCACGTCTCCTCGTTCTTTTGCTCCTTGTCTTCTCGGCTGCTCTTCTCGGGTCTTAGCTTTGGCCCCTCACAGCTTGGAGGTGCCCCAGGAATGCACCTGTTGGAGACAGGAGCTTTGGCGGAGACGCACTGCCGAGCCCGGGAAGAGGCGAAAGCTCGTGCATGTTGTAGAGGGAAAGCTCGGCTCTTGTAGAGTGCACATCGTCCGAGTTACGGATGTCTTTCTTGGGACTTGAGACATTTAAAACACCAATCCTGAGAGATTTGGCCAATTGCAGCTCAACTGCAGATCTTCCTGTGTGTGCTACCGCTAACTACTTAGGAGTGTGATTCTGTGTGGAACCCAAAGGATCTACAGGGCCTTCAGCAGCTTCATTCGTGGTATGATTTGGGGTGAAAGCCCCAACCCTCCGCTTCACTGATTGTCACTGTTTCGACTGATATCCCAAAATATCCCAAATATCCAATATCCAATATCCAACACAACAACATCCCTGTGTCCTGTGTCTGGTTCTTTTTCGCATCTGTGTCAACTGACCACATCAACACGGTTCATCCAAACCATCTCTGCTCAAGACTCTCGCTTCGGCCGCTTCCCCCAGGGTTCCCCGGCCGCTTGCTGCGATGGCTCAAAGAGTTCGATGCGAATCTTCCCACGGCCCAGGCCCTTCGAGTCCAAGTACCTAGATCCCACGGTGCCGGTGGCAGATTGGGCGACGGGCGAACGAGAGAAGAAGACGGAAGGAAGCCTTGTTGGTGTTGAAACCTTTCAAGACATCGACCCGGATGGAAGGTTGGTGTCATCAGATTTCCGGAACTAAATGTGCTTTTCTTTCGAAAGAAAGGTTCTTTTTTGGAGGTCTTGGAAGATTCAAGAAGATTCCTCAAGGTTAGCGTACCACATCCACCCAAATCCACCCCCGAGAACTTGATCCATCCAAATCAGGCCTTCCAATCCCTGCCAGCAGGTCCGCAACCTTCTCTCGGCGAGGCGGAGTGCCCTTGGCGCGGATGCTCAAGTACACCTCACACAGCGGGGGCTGTTGATCTACTTGATCCACAAAAACAAGTGGGTGGTGCTTTCCCCTTCAGGGTGTTGCAAGCCTTGTGAGGGACGAACCCTGAAAGGCCCAGATTGTTGTCAGCTGCCTGGTTGTTAGGAAACTAGTGATCTGATGAGAAATCCTCTGTCCTACACCGCCTTGCATAAGCAACAACGTTTCAACCCATATCAAAACACTACAGTTGTATATTATAAAGGGAGTCTTAGAATGGACAATGGAAAGAAAGATAATGTTAGTGCCTAAGAAAGAGCTTGCGGGTTCACTGAAAATTGCAAGGATTGGTGCAGTTGCCGCTGAGAGTTGTGTAAACAGAAAGCTGACAGTAATGATGCTCAGCTTGATCTTGCGGCAGTGCATGTCCAACGCTGAACACACAAAACACCTCTTTAAGCAGAGGCTCTTAAGCGGCATCTGGGGTCCTGACTGGCTCAGGTGCCAGGTCCTGCATGCCACAAGTGAAAAGACTTGCAGGATAAGCATGCGGTCCAAACGCGCCGAGATCTCGCGTGACCACCGATCGACCGACGCACCTCGCTATGTTGTATCTACAATGGGAACAGTCTGAATCAGAAGTCCGAGAGGCAAACAAAAACAGGTCTGAAGGGCGCGGACATCAAATTGCATCCTCAACAAAGCTAAACTGTGCAGGATCCCAAGAAAGAACCAACAAGAACCCTGCGACAGAAGAATACTAGATGCATCATAGATACGATTTTGTCATGCTCCAGGAATTGATAGGACAGGATTTGACGCCCACAAATGATCAACACGGGTTGAACTATTCATCTGAATTGATTCTATCAAGATTGAATGAATATGAATGAATTAACCTTTCCAGATAGAACTGCTCAGTGGTGTCTCGTGGTGACTTGCATATTGTCAGTGGTGTCTTGTGGTGTCTTGCGAACACTACGCGTCCTTTACCACGCTCATCATCACTTGCACCACCTCAACGCATGAGACGGGTGTGCAAGCGAGTGAGTCCAATCAAGTCACTTTTCAGTTGTTTCCTAAGATGAACTCAATCTATGATCTCTGCCTTAACATGACAGCATCTGAGGTATCCTTTGAGGAGCACTTCATTTGCGGGTCACAAATCATCAAGATCGCTAGATTCTAACCATAACTTGTAGAGGATCCAGGATCCACCCAAACCCCCCAGCACACCACCCAGCACACCACCCAGCACACCTTCACAAGAGACTGAGCTCTTTCCCTTCCCATTCTTCGACGAGGCTTGAGACGAGGTACATGCCGTATTCGGATGGCAGAACCTTCTGTCTCGCCACTCGTCGTGTTCGTCGTTTCTGTGGTACATTCAGTGCCCTCATGGCTCCCCACGCCGGGCTCCACTGCAAAGTGATCCTGAAGGAAGTGGCACAACTCAGCCGCCTGGATGGGCGCCACGGGTGGCTGTCGTTTCTCTTGCAGCAAAAAGAACTATACAAATGCACATGTTCTCAAGGACTCACGCAACCGCAGCAAGAAGACTTTAAGGATGTCACAAGAACCCATGAAGAAAGTGGAATAACCAGGTAACATACACAAAATATCCCCAAACGCTTGCTCAGTGTGGGCCATTGACAAGTCTAGATCACCATCCACCCACTGAGATCGCGCCTTTCCCATCCGGATCTTGTTTCACAGCCTTGTACAATGGACACGTCCGGATTCCTCAAAACGTCGGGTTCCTCACCCCACCGAGATCTACAATGACTCCCATCCGTCCAACGTCCGACCTTGATCTTGGGCATATCCTCCTCCCGGGCAAACACCTCCACCAGCGGCATGGTGCTTTTGGGATGTGTCAACCAGGCTGTCCACGGTGTTTAACCCTCGCAGTTGCTGGCAGAACTGTCAACCCAGATCATGCCAAATCATGTGCTTCTTGCTGTTGACGTGCTTTGTGCCAAGGGCTGAGGCACGGAAATGAGGTGCAACCAGGTCAGCCTCTCATGCATTGCTCTTTACGATTAAGTGAGGTCTCGAGGACTGTGATACTTTCAGCGACACTGTCACTCTCCGAATGTTCCAAAGCCGCACTGCAAGGAGGTAAGCGTACCTACTATGGTGCCTTCTCTACATTCAACGCTCTTCCAGGCTAAGAAGTAGATGGGGCTCTTCTGCCAGGGTAGATTCTGCACCGGCCATCAGACTCCCAAGTCACCCTTTTCCGAGCACCAAAGCCCTCTGCAGCCGGATCATTTGCAGGCCGGCCTAAGTATTGCCATGTCTCCACCAAAAGCCTACGGACAAATGAAATGAAAGGGATAAGAAGCAAAAGGCCAGGGCCAAGGAAGACGAACGAAAAAGAACCAAGGCAACACCACCTCGAACTCAAACATATGGTCATCTGAGAGCCCCTGTCGCGGAGGAATCCACTTTGACGTCACTCCCTGCAAATACCTCCGCAAAACAGATTCGCCACAGCACAGATACGCTCATGAAGGCCACGTGTTTGCTTCAGAAGGAGCAAACAAGAGCACCTTCTGTTCACATGCCATGGACTCTCAAGCAACAAGAGCCTGCCTACCACATCCCACCACAATCTGAACGTGCCTCATGGTGGAGGCCTTCTCAGAGACGCCCGGTCCACAGCTTCAGCCGCTCCGGCAAAAGGCCGCCCGGACTTGCAAGGCCGCCCTGCAGCACAACTCGGTACCACTGGCATCCCCAATGGGGTTTTCCTTCTCAAGAGCATTGACCAAACAGGCAGAGATTAGACAAAAGCGGACTGAAAAGCCTCCAACCCCCTCTAGTTGTTTTGCATCAATCCTCTCATTCTGTACACGCTGTGTGAGGACAAATGACTGAATCAGCGCCACAAGAGCGGTAAAACGGCGAGCTGGCACAACTCTGAGTCTGCACAGGTTGCACCACTTCTCATCCGAAGTCCACAGCTTGGATCCAAGGCGGAATCACACGCTCAGTATGGCGCGCTCATTTGGACAAACTGCTGTGCTGAAGCCTGTTGCATCTGCATGCGGCTGCCCATGTCGCAGCATTGCTGTAGCTGAGCACCCAAGTTGGTACCTCAGTCGCTTTCACCTCAGGCCTCGATCCTCATCCATTACTAGGTGAAATGATCTAGACTAGGATGGCTTTGACCCGCTGCAACAACTCTGCTCAATCTCTTCGTAGGATTGACCCGCTGATTTGGAGAGAGAATCCTCGCTGTCGCGAGTGAGGTATAGTTATGCTGCGAAGGGCCGTAGGTCTTGCCACAAAACTTGATATGGTGATGGTAGTTTAAGTTAAAGTTAAAAGCAAACAGCGAGAGTTCTGACCTACATTAGTTACATGTGCTGATGCTGATGTGCTTATTGTTTTTGTTTCTAAATACAGTAGCTGGTGCAAAATGGCTTCTGGGCTAGAACAATCGACTGCTCTGCTGCATCTGGGCCACTGTAGGCCTTCCCGTAGTACCGCTCGGCCACGCGCAAGAGAGCCTCTTCGGAAACTCCACCCAGATGCACCAGCTCCTTCCTCAAACCAAGTTTGCCATGCTGCCATGGGAATTTTGCTGAACATGTACTTAATTAGACCCGATCACGTTGAGATCAGGCAACATCCAGATCTAGACCAGCAACCAATTATCATGAAGTGTTCAAGAACACTTGTGGCTACTATCATGTTAGCTTACTAAAGCTGACTCTTCTGAAGTCCCTGGATCTCTAGTGTTCCCTCCAACCTCCGTCAAGCTTCCAATGCCCTGCACTGGTCAACATGCGGCCTCCACTGGGATAGCTGAGAAGCACATGACCAGCAGTGCTTTTCTGTTGCGTCTGCGGCAACCAGGGGGTGTGGGGGTTCGTGGCCGTCGTGAGAATCTGCAACATATAGGCCGTTGACCTCTCAGCAGTTTCTGCAGCTCCCTCCACCACCTCATAGACCTAAGAGTTTGCCGAGTTTGCCGAGTTTGCCCATGCTTTGCAAGACAGCTGTCTCTGACGTTCCAACATCTGTCTGTGGACACTCAGAACCCAATGACAAATAGTCACATACAAATACAACGATTCCAAAGAAAAGATCTAATTCAGCAGCTTTGGGGAGGCAATGGTGTTCGAAGCAGCCTGAATGAGCGCCTTGCCGTCTTGGCACAACTCTCCAACTTTCGCCAGCCTCGAAAAAACAAAGAACAGTCCGAGTTGATGCCCTTATCTTTGAGATGATGAGCAAAGCCCAAAAATAGAATTCAATCAAAAAAAGTGGGATGGCACCCAGTCACTGGCGTGAGGAGCAGGACTTGAGCACTTCTGGATCAAAGTTCAACTGCAATTGGCCAGAGCAAACCTGCCCAGTGCTGGGCGAGAATGAACTGACATTAATTCAATAAGGTGTCACGGCCCAAACGGCTTAAAACATTAGATGCGCCAGGATTGCCAGGGCTGGGAGCAACTCATTCCAAAAGTGTCATTGTTGCAAGCTGAATCGGAATTGATGGAGTCTACAGGAGGCCAGCATGATATGTCTTACAACCCCTGAGTCCACAACACACAGCTGCTGCAACACCAAACCACCAGTCTGCGAGAAGACAAGAGCGACCATGACAAGCACTTTGAAATCTGGCTTGCTGAGGGTTCGAACCAGAGTTAGTGAGCCAGTCAGCATCTGGCAAGACATTGCAATCTCAGATAGTTGAGAAGAAGTGCCCTGGATCCACACTATACCAGTCAGCATCTAGCAAAAGCAAACCATCCCAGAAAGTTGAGAAGAACTGCTCTGGATCCAAGAGCAATCACCCTCAATTTTTGAGCATTTAACCACATATATAAATTAAAAGTCCACTTTCCAGAGACCTCCGACCCATGCAACGCATCTCTCCCAAAATGAATTTTTCTGCCAGGCCACTCCGGTCTGCCGAAAGGGGTTCGGCCCGAAGAGATGTACATCCCAGTGGCTGATCAAGGCTTTCAGGCTGAAGTCCGAAAACATCACCTCAGGCGGTTCGACCGAGACGTCGTTTCCGACCGACCGAGGCCGGACGATGTTGGTGGATGCGATGCTTCTTTTCGGAAACATGCATTCCACGTCCATCATCAATGCTTAAAGATACGAATCTCAGGAACTGGGGGGGGGGGCAATGAGAAAAGCTACTCAGCTACTCCAAACTCATTCCAACTCACGTCACAGGCCAGCCGACGTGACGTCAAAGTCTGCCTTTTGAAGCCCAAAGAATCCGGATCAGTTCCAACAGAGCATGATCGGTAGGAGCGCTCACAAAAGGTTCCATGTCAGATCAATCGATCTTCATGAACATCAAAACAAAAATGTATATATTACATAACATATATATATATATACATATATTTATATTTATCTAATGGCAGTCTAGTACGATATATAGGCTCAACTTCACCTGGTACACCATCCACTTGGTGCGAAATCCTATCGAAAGTGCCTCGTTTGGGCTGCCGCTTTGTTCTTTCAACTTCACGGGCTTTGCCACTTGACGCACTGTCGGGGTTATGTCGCCAAGACGCCATATACCCTCGGTTCAATGCAAGCTTTGCAAGTCGTAAGGATGCATCGGATGTCGAAGGTCGCTGTGGGACCTGCCCGCATCCGCCGAAGGGCAACAAGCCACCACCTTGAAATCCATGCTCACCTGGGACTCTGAAATCTCTGAAGGAGTGCACTCTTTCCACTTGGCAACTTATTGTGTCATGATTCATGATGTCCTCCGTTTCAAGCCACACCTTCCAAAAAATGGCATGTGTCATCGTTCCTTGACTTTTCACCAGGTCACTGCAGGAGGAGCAGCACTCCCAATTGAAGACCACTTTCGCAGCTGGCACACGGCCCAAGTCCTGGATGAGCTCCGCCAAGTCTCCACTGGCGCGGTCCTTGTCCTCCAAAGCCTCACCCAGCTGCTCCAAGCCGCTGATCGACACACAGTAGGTGGCCACCGAGGTCCCCTGGTCATCCGTTTGTGCCACCTGCAAGGCGCTTCCAAGCGGCGTGTTTCACTTCCAAGAACTGGAGAAGATTGAAATAGAATTGTGACTTCCACTATCGGCCTGAGACTAGACTCAGGATGATATATTGTTTTTGCTGTTTGAATGGTTTCAATTTAATTGATTGTTTATGGTTCTGGAAACGTGGTATGATTCAGGTGTGATAGTCTATATCTTTATGATGCTTGTACGACCTTGGAAATGCATCATGATGAGACCATATAAGTAGTCATAAAACAAATCATGAATAAAACATATATAAATAGAGCATAAAGAAGTCAGAAAAGTGCTGTGTTTTACAGGGCTTCGAGGTTCGCAACAATGTTCCAGGTGGTTGGGCACGGTGTCTCTCAGTCTTTACATATCATATCATTCAAATAACATGTCTTAAATTACATATATTATATAATACTATATACCACATGTCCAGGACCACAAAAGAACATAAATGAAACACCAAACATATATATATCAGAAAGTACCAATGTCAAAAACAAAACAAATAAAATTACAGTAAACATATCTGCAAGACAGCCTCCTGTCGCAGACCTGGAACTCACAAAAATAACATGTGCAAGTTGTAAGGGTCATGGACAGAGCTCAGCAAGCATCGAGTTTTGACCCGCAGCAGAAACAGCGATAGGTGAAACAGGCCCTCCGTGTTTGTCTCCCACCTCTTTGAAGATGGAATCATAAGAGCAGCCCTCGCTAATGGTCACAATCACTGCGCCCAAGGTGCTCTTTTCACTGCCCTGGTGTCGAATTCTCTGGACATGACATGTGCCCGGTGCTTGTTGTGGCACCTGCGGTGGGAAGGGGGGAAGGGGTGCTCCATAGGGGCCTGGAGGCGCGGACGCTCCGGGCGCACCGGGCGGTGGCATGGAGGGGTAGGCCAGAGCTGGGTAGGTCGGGTAGGCTGGGTAGGCCGCAGCAGGTTGCTGCTGCTGCTGCTGCTGCTGCTGTTGCATCTGAGGTTGTGAGGCCATGGCTTGGGGAAAGGGTTGCATTTGGCTCACCAGCTGCCAGCCTTGGGAGGTGCTTTGGCCCAGGTTCATCTTCTGCATGCCTGAGGCCGAGAGGTACTAATGAGCTCGTGGAATGCTGATTGAGGGTGTAACTTCGGTGCGTCTGCCAGTGGATGACAATGCTAAGACTGCGAAGTCGGTCTGCAACACATGTTTGGCACGTTCAAACGAGCCATGAACAAAAGGTGCATAAGCTAGAGGAAGTCGACAATGGCATTTATACAATACTTGGGACCTGGGAACCTGTTTGAAAGAGCTGCATGGAAAGGATTATATAAGCATCAGAGCTTTTGGGGGCTTTCCTGCCTTGCACCAGCTGCCACTGCTGAGACGCCATGGCTATGTTGAAACTTGCTGTGATGACTCGGAACGACTGCAATGGCTCCACATGAAAGGTCAATGCGATTCACTGTGCCCTTCCCGAATTTACTTCCAAACGTCTGGCCTGCAACACAGGTTGCACAACCTCATGTGCGGCATCTGTCACCTGGGCGTGACGAGAGTCACGAAGCTTCATGGTTTCCATGATTACAGCAGCCATCAACATGGACGCTACAGTAGGGCTAGATGAGTTGAAGTCCAAAACGGTACGAATCCTGGCTAGTGAGAAGAGAAGTAAGCAGGGACTTGTATGAGAACTAGGATTGGACTCCATACAAATCCTTCCAGAGCTAGGTAGGGAACAGCCAGAAGGACTGGATCGAATCTCAACTCCACCGAACCTCCTCCACCGCCGAATCGGAAGGAATCACAGAGTCCAGGTGCATCACACTCCTTCGGTGGGAAGAACTTGGAGGGATTCGTTCCACAGAATTCCGTTGCTTTGGAAAAAAAGTCAAGATGCATTCCAAAAAGTTGGAGAACATTTGGACATGGGCAAATCTCCACTTTGTTCACGACATGGTCGATGTTTGGCGGTGCTTCAGAGGGATTTTTGGACCATGTTTTCTTTATTTGTGTGCCTCAGTCCTTGGTTTGTGGCTCCTAGGAGGCTAGGAGATCGCCAAGGCTGTCCTCCGATCAATCGATTTCATCCGAGGACGAACAACTCCGTCCTATTTAACAACACTCACCTAAGTGGTTGTGGTGTGTAGTATATACCCGCTTGTCTGTCTTTCCAAGTGTACTAAGACTATAAGCGCTCCAGCTTTCGCGGAGGACACCCAAACCCTTGGAACGGAATGGATCCGAACAAAAACCGAATGGTCACGCAGGGAGCGCAACCTGCAAGAGCTCAACGAACCAGCCAAACGGCATCGAGTTGAAGCCGCGCCAAAAAAATGAGAGAGTCAAAAAAGAGATCTGCATCAAGTCTGCATCCCATTTTGCCGGTTTTTTGAATATGGATGTTTTTATGCAAGTTCCATTTGACCACCTTTTCAAACTGTCAGAGAAACCATCGGCGCCTCGATGGCGCGTCTCGAGTCGAGTCGATGGCCATGCCTCGATGGAAGGCGATGCTTTGGATGATGAAGCTCCGGAAGTCCTGCGTCGATCAAAGCGTCTGACGTGTTGGGTCGAAGATTTCGGAAAGGTCACGTCCTCCATGAACACAGCACTTTAGTTTGAGCTGGGCTTGATTGATGGTGGGGTGCAAAGGATATCAACAACTAATGTGAGTTTACACTATTGACTGCAAAGCCTCTTGTCTGACTGCAACAAAGGAAGCGCTTGGTGCTCCATTTACCTTCTCAAACAACCGTGAGATTTGGGAAGAAGAAGAACCGTGAACACAAGTCGGAGCTCTCCTTTCACCATCGCCAGGCAGCAAACACGAGCCGCACGAGCCAGTCCCTCCACTTCCCCAACTCCTCTCTGAGAGACATTGGCATTCACCTCTGCAGGGAGGTCCTGGTGCTTGGAATGAGCGGGGATTGCAGCCTGGTGCTGCAGGCCGAGGCTCGGTTTCCTAGTGATCCACATGGAAATAACAGTGGTTGGGTGGGACCACCTTCAAGCTCTTTAGACTCCTTTCATTGAACTAAACAGTTTTTTGACTGAACTCAGCGTAAATTGTATGGACCATCTGGCGCAAAGCTCTGCAACAACCACATCACTCAACATACCATGCCCAGCCCAACCCTGCCCTGTCTGCCTTTGCATCTGTCATTGAAGACCTGCAAGGAAGACTCCAAAAAAGTCACCACAAGTCAGCCACTTTCAGGATGCACCCGTCAGGATACACATGGTTCACAGTTGTGCAGCACCTCATTGGCACATTGAACCATCTGCTTTCAGCAAGGCGAAAGCCTGCAAACCGCTGGGAGGCCGCTGGCTGATTTCGCTGACTTACTCTCCAGCCTTTTGCGCAACTTGAGTCCGAAAATCAAATATATATATATATATATACCTCTTCAAGGACGCATATCTTAAGAGCTCACTGGAGAACCACCAGAGCAAAATGAACCCTCCCAAGAAACTTCACAGGTTCAACTTTCGGCACCTTCCATAACGTTTCGAACGCCTTCGACGCCTTTGCATTCTAAACCAAAGGATCCTCAGCCGTTCACGCCTGACATGTGCCATGAGATGGCCTTGGAACTCGCCCCGGTCGGCCGTCCAACTCAGAAACACCGAATGGGGTCACGAAGGAGGAATCGAGTTCTGATGTTCTGAAAGACAAGGGCCATATGTGGCATTCTTGTAGTCTTGAGATGTCTTGAGCCACTGCCAAGTCAATGCAGACTTGGACTCGTGGATTGGAATTTAATGCCGTGAAAGCCATGGTGCAAGAGAATCCAGTGGCCTGAATGCCCGAGAATCCCATGCGCCAAGGCTTTTCAACTACCCTCGATCCTCGACTTCAGCCTTTAGGCCTCCTCCTGAGCCCCTACCTTGCCAGTAAGCTCAAAACATCTCAAAACCAACTTCACTGACTTCCCTCCTCCATCTCAAAAGCTAACTTCTCGGCTCTCAGGATCCCTGAGGGTCCCTGACTCCCATCACCAGCAGAGCCACCACGCTGGCCACTGCTGTGCCCCAGAAGGGCCACGGACTCCGAGTGAGTCTGCGCTGGTAGACCATGCGGACTGCGGCTCGGTGCGCCGCGGCTCGGCGGGTTGAGCCGGTGAGTGGATGTTCGGCTTGCAGTGTTGGCAAGTCACACACTCTTGGATTCTGTGTCGTTTTTGTGTGATTGAACAAAAGTTGTAAAAGAAACATATCACATCCACCTAGCCGCCTTGATGCACTGTGCTTTGTGAGCTGGGATCCGCCAATATTGTTAGATTGTTCCACCAACAAACACTCTGTCAGCACTGACTGCTTGATCGTCACCTGAAGGGAAACGCATGAGATCATGGAGTGTTGATCGAATGAACTGGGTCAAAGCGACGGAGTACACTGTAAGGAAAATTTGATTCTACTTCCTGTCACTCCTTACTCGCTTCTCTTCTTCACGTGTTGCTGATCGCTCTGAGCCTGGGATCGGTCCGCCCAAAGGCCCAAAATGGGAGAAGTAAGTAAAGCTTGATCAAACTCCAACACAACAGGGGCAGTCAGACAGACTCTGGACAACAAAATAGACGCGTGTGAATGAAAGCTCAGTTGGTTGAACATGGTTGAACCTCATCTACGTCGTAAGGCCCATTACAACTAGCATCACTGAGCAACCCATGCAACCCATGTAACCCATGTTGACGTAGTCCAACAAGTGCAGATGAGGTGCCACCCAAGTTCAAGCGCCCTTCACCCGCAAATTCTCAGTGCACTTCTTCCCAAACACCCAGAAGCAGAGTCGGGTTGTCAGCATGAACTTAGCCATGCCAAAACTCCCTGGACAATCGGACAGATCAGTGGATCGGTGCAGTTGGCTCCCTTCTCGAAGCAAAAAAGCTCGAAATCCCAGTCATTTTATAGGTGGCAAAGTGCAAAGGTCAAAAAAGTAGAGGTATATAAACGTTGACCACCTCAACACGGGCTGCTGAAGTCTCCCACCCAGTGGTAGAGCTAGATCTAAATAACTTCTCCGATCCGTCCGAGATTCAAACTGGCCACTGAGACCAAGCGAGACTTGTCATGCGTGCAGCAACAAAAAAACCTGAGCCAGCTGAAACCATCCTCCGGGAAAAAATGGGTTCTGAAACCACCTGGAACCTGAAATAGATAGCTGAAAAAGAGCTGAAGTAGTAACTGCCACGGAGGTGCAGTTCATGAACAGCACCATCTGTGAGGCCTTTCCGTTGGAAGCGTTTCCATCTGGCACAGGGACGCTGAAAGTGAATTCGCCTCGGACTCCGTTGAGGCCCCCAGAGGGACTTGAAGGTCATGACAGGACCCATGGTCAGCACGGTCAGTACCGCCCTGTCGCCCTGTCAGCTTTATTGCACCAACGTAACAAGAAGCGACTAGTAGTCCCGAGTGCCTTTTAAAAAAGCCTCCCCGTGTAAAAAAGCACCACGCCCAAAGCCCTAAATTAGGCTTATATTTGCTTTTAAGTTACCGCCCTTTCCAGCCGCTACTAAACTACCAACATGGTCGGTTTTGGGGGTAGTTTCTTTTATTAGGTTCCAAAAACAACCGTAACTGCCCACACCTGTCCGCCCTGTGTATCCTCCATGACACGCCGCGTTTACACCAGCAGATGTTCCTTCCTCCAATGGCACGGACTCATGCAAACGCACTTGCCCACCGAGGTCGTGCAAAACCGCATGGCACAGCGACATCACCTTTCGAAAGCTTTGGTTGTTAGTCTAATGAATAATCAGTATTCCAATAAAGGTTTTTGTAGGGGAAAAGGAAGACCCTTCGATCTGGAGGTTTTTTAATTTTTGATAGGAGTTTAATAAAGGATGTTATATAAAACTTTTGTGGATGACTTTTTGGTTTTGAAGCTCTTCCCAGGTGGCCCTATTTTGGACCCTCCACATTTCAGGGACCCCCTATTAGAAAAAATGCGACCGAGTTTCTCTTATTAGGGGGGGGCGTGTTGTTTAATAGGTGGACAGGATTAACAAAGGGCATCGCTACGAACGGAGCAAGGACGCTACTAGTAGCTCCTGGCCTTACTACTAGTAAACAAGAAGCTACTAGAAGCGAGGACGCTATTAGGTTGGAGGCCATTAAACCAAAAACTAAAGCGAGCGAAACTCTGAGGAGCCACTGAAGATGCTTGTCGATCCATACCTGGACATTCTTGTTCCTTCAATAACGTGGTATGCGTGCAGGATAGGGACCCTACAATGTGCTTCTGGAAAGAAACGATCAAGAAGTCCATAGAAATCCTAGATGTCCCGTCAACCCCACTGAAGTCCAGCTTAGTCCTCTGTCTTAAGACCTTCAAGTAAATCGAAGACTAAAATATGGCCATTGGTCGGCAAGTTGGACATCATTCAACGTCCGCAACTCGCGCGTGTCACTCCGTCTCATGGGTCTTCTTTATCGGTGCCCAACCATAAATACAAAGCCGTTCCGGATATTTTGTTGGAGTGATTGAGCGGAGGGACCATACCAGCTACCAGGGACCATGGCAAGTGTCTCTTACGGTCTTGCTCCCCTTGTATATAACCCTTGCCATGACTGAAAAACCATCCTCAGCATGTGATCCTCATCGGACTACCGCATCGTCCATTCAGGCCGTGAGGTCCGTCGCCGCGATCGTGCGGAGCGTGCGGACCTGTAGTGCACGGGGGAGGGTAGGCCGTAGAGAGGTAGCATGGACGCAGGATAGCTCACGCTTCTTCAAGAAAGCGCTCGCGCCAATGACTTGGTTCCTAGATTTTCAGGGAAACTTAACATTAGGATCAAATGAAAGTGGTTGCACCACCCTATCCGTAAAGGAACATCATCATCCAAGGGTCCATATTCATCCATGTTCCACTTCCACAGAAGTGAGTCGGAGGGTACTGCTCTTGAGTATTTCGGTGGCTGTGATATGGGTGAAACAAATCCTGTACCACTGGAACCCCAAATCCTTAAATCCAGGCTGCGTGCAACGGTCTCACAAAGCAGGAGCGGACAGAGAACATGCGTGGATACGATACAGGGCGCCGGAAAATCAACCTTGTGATCAAAATTTGTGGTCGAAATTGGATGAACTTGGAGACCTAAGGTTGGACATCCTTTGCTGAGCACGAAACAAGGGGCTGAGGTTCCATCAGAGTGGTATCTAGCAGCGATCATTTATCGGATAAATGAAAGTAACGTAAATCTGCTCTCTTTTTGGACAAAGCTTCTCTGTGCACCCCAACCGATGCTACGGCACGGGTTATACTTATGGCGCCAAGCAGAGTTGTACCTAAGTCAGTGATGAGTGGGGTTATATCATATACAGTAATGATCCCCACAGATCCCCACCCACAGGTCCCCTCATTCAAAGACTTGTTGGAGCCGGATTGACCAGTGAAAACCCTGCACCGGCCACGAAAACCCTGTCGCTGGAGGTCCATCAAACGACGTCCCCTAGGTGCGAATGTCTGCCCCAGTTGCGTGAGGGCTACTTCCATGCAAACCTTTGGGTAGAGGGTAGGGAGTTGACACCGAAAGCTCTATAGATGTTTGAGCTGAAAGCCACTTGGACGCATGGAAGACATCTGTTGTTCGTGGGAGGTCCTTTTCTGGTGTCCGTCACCAGCAACTCCCGTTGGGTCTCCGGCTTCAAACAGGACTTCCGCTCGAAGGGCGGCTCTGTCCGTTCCTCCCAGTTCGATCCACGGATTCCCGGGATACGCTGCGCTCTCTAAACGTATCCAACCGTCCGATGTTCTCGAAGTGCTGGTCCAACTGGAAGAGTTCTCCAACTGGTCCAACTGGTGTTCTGAAAAAACGATGGAGAGAGCTGGGGTCTAATGATTGTAGCTACACAGCCCATAACATGCCATGGACACCAGTGGCGAAAGCCCAAGGTTGGAACCCACCACATGGCGCCTGAGTGACCAAGACTGCTTTCCAGCCTTCCAACCTGAGGATGGACATGGATGGACTGCCTGGTTTGCTAGGCTTGGAAGCTAAACCTGTGCAGGCTTTCAGGGTTTATGTGCAGAGTCTATCGTGATTCTCACATCAACCGGAAGAATCGCCCCGGCCATTCGCTTCCGATTTTCCTGAGACCAAGATGGACTCAAACGGGTTCAGGCTTCAGTATCTTTTTAACTCCAGTTCCCCCCAAGCTCTCAGGTCCCAAGAGGGTCGAGGTCAAAGTGGCATACCGGCCTTGTGATGGCTTTAGGCAGGTGCGGCTTCTGGTCATGCAGCTCAATCAACGGCGATAAGGTGCCTGACCTTGCCACGAACGTCAAATGATGCGTCTACGAAAAGCAAGAGCTGGCAAATAGATGCAAATGGGAGATTGAAGGTATCACAAGCTCTCCAACAGTAAAACTTGCTGGCTTGCTGATAGCGCTGCTGCTGCTGAAGGATGTGAAGGGGCACTCCGCAGCACTCCAGACTTCTGCCGCACCATTTTCTTGAGTCAGCAAATGTGAAGTTTGACTGAAACAAGATGTGCTCCAAAACTTCGGGGTTGGTCATCAAAAGGCTCCAAACAGGTCGATAGGTCCCATCAAGAACAATGTTGCAACCAGCCAGCACACAATTTGGTCATTGCACTGTGCTTTGTAACGTTGCTCTTTCGTCCAAAGTCGTGCTGTGTGCCTCCTCCTCCTCCTCCGCTTTGGAAGCTGCCTCGCACAGCGTCATGAAGTCCCAAGAAACTTCACTCGCCTGATTTGTTAACAACTTAAGTCCCACGCATCATACTGTTGTTTGCCTTTGATATCCACTAAAACCAGAAACGCATGTTCAATTCCAATCCTCTAATTTACCCCAATTTCAACTGTATGCCAATCAGGTTATTCAGACCAAGAGCTACAGCAAAGGAAAAGGCTCTTCCTGGAAGTCTCTTCCAACCATTCTCCCAAGCGGTCCCCTCCCAACCACCCGGTCACGCTCCTTCCAGTTGCTTTCTCGCTGGGCGTGGGCGAGGCCACCTGCCAGTGATGTCAAGTGTTGCCCTTCTCCGTGGCCTCTTGAACTCGAGGTGTCTTGGAAACGGAGGGCCTCTTCAATGAACGGGAGTCTTCAAGATGTCTCACAGATGTGTAGACCAAATATGCTTGACTCCGCTACCTGCCGGGGCCAGAGGGTGACCAGTCGGGGGCACGACGATCCATCCCATTCCGCCACCTCTCGGACGGCTGAAAGCAGCGATGCCACTCGGGGCCGCCGGCCCTGAAAGACACAACAGCTCGACTGCTGTAGTAAATCCGTCAAGACAGCTCGTCCACATGGCCTTCTGCCACGTCCAGGCCAGCGAAGCATGTTCTCAAGAATCATAGCTACATATATATAGCTACCAGGCCAGCGGAAACCATGTACAGTATATAAATATATCACATCGCACGGGCTGCACCCTCCATGGCTCACAGGTTCACACATAGGCCTCTGGGCATTGCACCACAGGGCTCTGCGAGCGACTTGGTCTCCTCTTCGCGAAGACATTTGGTGATGGGTTGATCTGCCATCACACCGCGTTTGGCGCCAAACGGATAAGTCCCAAAAATCTGAAGAAGCCTGTGAAACGCTGTTTTAGGTGGATAAAACTCGATTCCACACAGGTCTGGAGAGCGACATTCCATGCTACGGAGCTATTAAAAGACTGGACCATCGCTCACAAGTCCGCAGTGAATGGAAAGGGCCGGGTAAAGGACCGGTCTGAAAAGCCAGTCACCAAGACAGGTCTGTCACTCGTGTATTTTGGAACTGCTTGGGTAGATGGTGGATAATCAGAAACTGAGAGTTTCAATCAGAAGAAACACGGCGTCACATGAGAAGTCCTGGCTGATGATGGCGGCTTGTCATCTTCAATGTCCAAGCCTTCCAAGTGTATCTGAGAAGAAAGAAGCTTTGGGGTCGTCACAGCGAGCTACTGCGAGGAATCTTCGTCCGCACTAAACCAAGGTTTTTGAGCAGTTGGTCTACTAATGATTTTTAAGATGTGGAAGGGATTCGTTAGTTTCAGAAGGATCTGTAACTGCAAAGTAAGTAGTTCCTGTGGAGATGGCCGTGGGGGCCATCTACCCAACCACAGAGAAAAAAGGAAGGCATCCGCGGCGTCCGGGTTCGTGCAGACCATTCGACTGTATAGGATGAATCCTCTAACGTCAAGAACATGCGCCGCCCGGGCGTCCCAGGCATCCACCGCTCGATGGGGTGTCGACCGCGTCGCGTCTGGCGCCTGAGTCGCTACCTGGGCGGAGCACGGGCGCCCTGGAGGGGGCAAGTTCAACTGCATGGGAAGTCTCACTCAACTCAGTGGGGGTGTATATCAGCCGTCCAGACTCAAGACGAGTGACTAGTATTATGCCCCAGAAACTGAGAAGGAAAACAGGGTTGGAAACTCGAAGTCTCTTTTTTTGGAAGACTTTCGCCAACAAATTCGACCCCACGCTTTCACCCGAATTTGCCCCCATGCTTTCAATCTTAGGAGTCTTCAGAGCAGGCCCTTGGCTCCCAGCTGCTGTCACTGGAACTTGAACTGTCATTCTCAGCAAGCACTTGTGGCCTCGGGCAGTGATTTGGAGGTGCTTCACGAAGGACTGATCAGTGCAGGTCACCTCAGACCTGTGATAGGCCACGGCCAAGAGAGTCCAAGAGACTTTTGAAAAAGGCCATGTCAAGAGATGTCACTCTTTACTTCAAAGGCCATGGAGCAAACAGGCCATGTTACTTCAAGGCCATGTAGTTGTTTTTGGTAAACGAAGAGAGTCCACGGACTGTGTCGTCAGAGCCGAAGTTCACTTTCTCCGAGTCCTTCGCCCCTCTGGCACCGCCAGAACTCGGTGGGTGCCCAGCGGGTCCAGGGTCGTGGCCTTGGAAGGCGCTGTTCATTGAACGATGCGTAGACCTGAACCAACTAGCTCACGCTGTCACTAGCTCCCACAAAGAATGGCAAGTCAAACCACTCTGCAAAGTGGAGGGGGAGGGCTGAGCGATGCAATCAATACGCTTCCTCATGTGTTTGCGAGGTTGCTCCACCGAAAACCAAACGTTCAAGTCCATAGGGTGGGCATTAGTTGGTATAGTTCGGTACAACCCACCTGTATAGTCTGTATATCACCCACGAAGTACTTCCGGATTGCTTTCTTGCCTCGTTCGGCTCTGAAGCTCTGCCGTCTCCAAAGCAATGGAGACCGAAGTGCTCTTCCTTTACCAACATTGCAGCTGGAAGCTTGAAGTTTCTCGGATCCATGGCTTGCAAAAAAGTAATATTGCCTGTTCCCTTACCTTCAGGAAAGAGAGAAACAAATGTACAGTACCTGGTGCGACTGCAAATCGCAAGGCTCTCTTAATGAACTAGACCCTTCACAGCTTCGAGGGTGCAATTCTTGGACCCACTGCTATCTTATGCACACAACATGAAGGCCATCCAAGTTGCTAACGACATCGTAAACCTCAGCAGCATTCGGCACTCCGAAGGGAAAGGTGCAGAATGCCACCCAAAAAGGAAAAGAATCAAGAAGACTTCGGGATGGATGTGCCCTATATACACTTGAGGCAGAATGCTTTAAAAGGATCTTCTCTGCTTGAGCTATGATGACCAACACACAGATTTCTTGGAGTCCGAAGATTGCCCCAACTAGGCCACCAAAATCATGAAACCCCTTTGATGTCTCCAACCGCATCCTCCAAGACCCCATTTCTGAACCGATGACCCTTTTCCGCAGAATCCGGGCGCCATCAAGACCGACCCGGAGAAGCCAGACCAACGCCATGCCCAGCCGCGAGCTGGAGTTGACCGCCGAGACCACAGGGCGCGGCCCCCAAGATTGCCTCATCCAGGAAGACGAGTCAAATCGGAAGACAGTGAACCCACAAGCCGAATCGGTTGCACACGCAAGCGCGACATGTTTTCATGCACCTGTTGATTGATCCTCATATGGCAAGTCGGAAACATCATGGAATCCCCAGACAACCCCCGCCCACATAAACAATGCAAACGAACCTGTGGACACAAGTAAAGAGGAAACACATAGAATAGAAGTTACCACCACTTGTGCATTCGTCCTTGAAAGTGGCAAGGAATATTGAACAAGGAAACTCCCAACTGCATCAATTTGAACATGTCACATCATTTCACTCTGGGACTCCGAACTCGTCCTTCATTTCATGCGCATTCTCTTGCAAATCCTGAGGAAAATGCGCTCCGACCAAGCACAAGGTTGACAGCCAACAATTCATTCTCTGCCGGTCGTGGCCAACCGAAAAGAAGGCTGCAACCCGAAATCGTGCGCAAGTGCCGAAGTCTTCTAAAGCAAATCAGGAGAACCCACCATTGCAAACAAGTCCTGGTGTTCATTCACAAAGCTGGACCTTCCCGATTGAACCGAGAGGTTACACCCTGAGCCACCAAGCCCTGGATCTCACGTTGGCCCAATCCACCGGAAGGCTGGCCCGGCGGCCCAGCAAGGCCTTCCTCGGTTTGGAATTATGACAGCTGTTGCAAGGCCCATTGCACGGGTAGGAAGCGGTAATTATGCATGAATATATGTTCTTGGTAACCAGTGTGGGAAACAGATGCCGATAAAATTGGGCAACTAACAAAACGAGTCAGATGATGATCGAGCCGCAAATTGACTCTGACAAGAACAACTAGCATTTGGTGGCCCTTATGCTGCATGGGGTTCTTACAAGGCTCCAAAAGGTCTCTCCGAGGTCATGTGTCTGCTGTTGATTGTCGCGCTTTCACGAGGTTCGGGGAGGATTTTGTTATGTTATGCTGACGTGGTTTTCGTGAATCAAAGGCAGATGTCATCTTTTGCCTGGGTCGCACAAAGGAAAACCCGGGCCAGATCAGAGTTCGAAAGGATGTCAAGCACTGTACAGCTTAGTGAAAGTATTTGGAAGGAAATGTCCAGAAACAAAGAAAGTTCCAGAATGGGTGACAAAAGCCAAAGAAAAAGAAGTTCAGGGATGTCCATGCTGAAAGGTATTTTGTGGGTCTGTGAGCGATATGCACCCTACAGGTCTTCACATGTCTTCAACCCATACTTGTCTTCCTGCCAATGCGGTTTCGATCAGAGTGCCAAGCTTCAGCTTCACTGCCTGCGCCGAATTCCGTGCCACGGCCCGGACGGGACCCCGCTGAGACAACGAAGAACTGATATACTCCGACCTCCCCCCTCATACTGTGGGCAATGGCCTCCAACCTAATAGCCATGGCTTCACCTAACAAAGGAACAAATCCTGTACCCAACTGAAACTGCTTCAAAGCTCCGGAAATGTCGTGGTTTGACTCATCCCAGGATTTGTTTGCCTGGCCACAAGCAAGTAGCCAGAATAAGGTAAAATAGATCTCTGCCACAGTGCCATCGATTCGTCAACATAATCGTAACCTTCCTTCACAGCTTCTCCATCAGAGTTTCAGAAAATGCTTGTCTTTCAAACCGATTCATGAAGGAAAGGTGAGGAGCCGGGGGTCACCCCGCCTGAGAGGCCCCGTCAGTGCTTTGGGCAGTCGGCCGGATCTGGGTCTGGCCAGGGAGATGCTTGCTTCACCGGGACAAAGCAACTGTGAAGCAGGGAAGCCACTTTTTCACCTTATCCAAACAATAAGCTACGTACTAGTAACAAGTGCATCGCTACTAGTAACAAGTGCCTTACTAGTAGTAACAAGGTTCGCTATTAGAAACAATAAGCTACTAGTAACAAGTAAGCACGGTCATGAGGAGGCTGAAACGCTGGTCATGATGGGTGCTCCCCAGCTGGAAATGTTGGATGCTGCCACGTTCTGGTGGTCTATCTCAAAAAGAGGAAGTGTCACCCATCACTTTCCCGCTTCTTACAGCAGTTGGGTGAAGACTAGATGGCCCAACAAAAGAGAAAGTCGGGTAGAAATAACGTGTAGAAGTTTCAAAGATCTGTGCAGAGGGAATCTATGTTTTGAAACTAAATAGAGGAACTCCCTTGCCAAACAGGTTTCAGTTTCACTAGTCATATAACCCGAAATAAAGTTTCGGGGAGGTGGCTGTTTCTAAGGCATAATTGCCCATTTTGGCAAAAGCCTCGTGGTCCATCAATTCCCAAGTGGTACAGGCAGAAAAGACAAAAGAGTCAAAAACTACGAACTCTACACATCTCTACATACAGCTCCCCCAAAAAAGGTAAGGCCGTCTGCAGATGGCCTCCGGACGCAGAAATGCCTTGGACTTCTCGAGCTTCACCTTTCTCTCCTGCAATTCGTGCGGTTTTCTGGGGGTACCAGTCAAGAATGTCTGTGGCCTTCCAAAAAAATGAATGCCTCCTTTCACCCAGCAGTCATAGCTGAATGTTGCCCTACTTAGCTTCGCCAGCCTGGGCAATCTTCTCAAAGCGTACACGTTCTTTCGGGTGCCTAAGAGGTTGGACAGCGTCTGAGCGTCAAGCGTCGATGAAAATCGATTGCTTTCAGGGTCCCCTCATGAACTGAACCCGCTACACAGTGCTTCCTAAAGACCTTAACATGAAGCATTATGGTATATACATGCCTCAACCAACATGATGATCACACGTGAATACACTTCACTGCCTTTGCAAGGTTTGGGATGGACCAAACACTCTCTGCGTGTGTAGCCTTTCTCGCTTCTGCTTTCCTTCCGTCACAGCTGAGGTTATCACGACTTCAAGATTGCATGAAAACGGTCCGTGTTGATCACCTACGTCAGATCATACAAAGTTTTCAGCATGAGCGAGGACGTGGGCTTTGGATGGTTTTGACTGTCAATTCGGCAATGCCTATAGCCTATAGCTGTCTTTGGTGTTTGATGGCTGAATCCCATGAACTTCTGTGTGGACTGGACTGTCAACCTTGAATATCCAAAACTGCCACTAGGGTGCTGTGAACAAATTAAAGAGGTGTGAACAAATTAAAGAGAATGGTGTTTTGGGCCCTGAGGACCTGGCCCGTGTGTCGCAGAAGCCAACTGCGCGGATGGTAGCCGATCGCCGGGCAAAGCTGTTGCCAAGGTGGTTGAACATGGCCTCAGGAAGAATGTCTTGGAACAGTGTGCCATTCCTCTTTGACTGGTCCATCTCGCACACCTCCAACAACTGTTTAGAGAGATGATGATGCAATGATCTGCCCATTTCATCATTAGTCTCAACCATTGTTGACTATCCACGTCAGCATGTCAAAAAAGCTGGATAGTCACGTGCATGTGGTTGTCATAAGGATTGGGAGACTTTTTCAGCCATCCCCTGGTGCGACGCACTTGCCCAACACAAGAACTCCACCCTCTTCACTTGTTTGGAGGGTCAACTGATGAGTTCAAAGCAGCTTCATCGAAGGTGGCCCCCGCCCAGGAGGATTTCCAAGAACTGTTCAACTCCTGTCCCACGAGGGAAATCGAAAACCAGAACTTCAACAGCCGAGACACCATCTCACCGAAGACAGTACCCTCCTGTGGCGCGGATGTTTGTTTTGGGGCTCAAGCAAAAGCACAAGGTGGAGGCTATCGGCTATCGCTACTAGGTTGGAGGCCATCCCTGGCACAAACCATGAGTCCTAGCCAGTCCGCCTGCCCGATGAGTCTGGAAGTCGCTGCAGCGAAAACGACCGACGATGGACAACGGGCTCGCCGCTTTTGCCTACACTTGGCATTGCTTACAGAAATCAAAGCGCGCTCTGCAACCTTTTCCAGCAGTCACTGGCTTGGGCACTTTGGGCCGCATCCGGCGCCGGCGCAGCGGGAAGGAAGCGGTGGTGGGCTGGGTGGTGAAGCGAACCCAAAGGCTGTACTTTGATGCAGTGCACCCGTTGAAAAAATGCTGCACCCGCTGGCGTTGGGAGGAATTGGGAGCAGCTCCTACTTGGGGTTGAGCGACCTGGACCAAGCAGGAACCTGGAAAAAAAGCAGTGGTTCAACGCCCCGACCCCCCTGCTTTCATAAAAACACGCAAGAACTGTGCTTTGATGTCTAATTATCCCGGCAAGAGACCCCAAACAGTGTGTGTGTGTGAGGTCTGTAAGCAGAAAGTCTAGAGATCTAGACGCATTGGGGTCCAGAGAGGTGATGGTGGTGATGCAGGGGATCGTGGTTGGCGGTGGTGGTGAGTGAGTGAGTGTGAGTGCGAGCGTGAGTGAGAGGGAAGGTGGGTGTGAGTGAGTGTGGGTGAGAGGGAGTGTGAGTGTGAGTGAGAGTGAGAGTGGGAGAGTGAGTGAGAGTGCGAGTGTGAGTGAGAGTGTGGGTGAGAGTAAGTGTGGGTGAGAGTGAGAGTGTGAGGGGGTGTGAGAGTGGGAGAGTGAGTGTGGGTGAGTGAGTGCGCGTGTGAGTGTGAGTGCGAGTGTGAGTGAGGGCGACTGAAAGTTTGCGAGTGGGAGAGTGAGTAAGTGTGAGTGTGAGGAGGGTGAGTGTGAGTGGGAGTGGCAGAGTGAGTGTGTGAGTGTGCGTGTGAGTGAAAGTGGGAGAGTGAGAGTCATCTGAGAGAAAGTACTGCGCATGCCACGAAATCTGCACTTCGAGGTTCACCAAGTGCTGCGCCTGCCACGAAATCTGCACTTCGAGGTTCACCTGACGCTGTGCCTGCCACGAAATCTGCACTTCGAGGTTCACAAAGTGCTGTGTCTGCCACGAAATCTACACTTCCAGGTTTACCACATGCTACGCCTGCCACGAAATCTGCACTTCGAGGTTCACCAAGCGCTGTGCCTGCCACGAAATCTGCACTTCGAGGTTCACCAAGCGCTGCGCCTGCCACACACCAAGTGCTGTACCTGCCACGAAATCTGCACTTCGAGCTTCACCAAGTGCTGTGCCTGCCACGAAATCTGCACTTGGAGGTTCACCAACTGCTGCGCCGAAATCTACACTTCGAGTTCACCAAGTGCTGTACCTGCCACGAAATCTGCACCTCGAGGTTCACCAAGTGCTGACTCGCCACGAAATCTGCACTTCAAGGTTCACCTCCCACGAAATCTGCACTTCGAGGTTCACTAAGTGCTGCACCTGCCACGAAATCTACACTTCGAGGTTCACCAAGTGCTGTGCATGCCACGAAATCTGCACTTCGAGGTCCACCAAGCGCTGTGCCTGCCACGAAATCTGCACTTCGAGGTTCACGAAGTGCTGTGCCTGCCACGAAATCTGCATTTCGAGGTTCACCAACTCCTGTACCTGCCACGAAAACTGCACTTCGAGGTTCACAAGGTGCTGCACCTGCCACGAAATCTGCACATCGAGGGTCGCAGAGTGCTGTGCCTGCCACGAAGTCTGCAAACGAGCCACATGTCCAAAAGTCACGATTTTCATTGCACCTGTCACAAAATCTGAGCTCCTCGACGATCACCACCATGTCCAAAGTGCCGCGCCTGCCACGAAAACTGCACTTCGAAGTAAAACAGCTCCGATCCCTTGCACCTGTCACGAAAAGTCGACTTTGAAGCACCGAAGCACGAGGTTTCCCTTGCACCTGCCACGACAAGTGACCACCATGTGCGAAAATGCACACGGCACCACAACGAGAGTGCAGTCGCTAGAAGCACCCGCCGCCGGCACCCAGAATTTGCGAGCCTGCGCAGTCGAAATGCACTTCGACGATTTCGAGAGGCATGAATGTACTGTAAATAGCAGCGAATTAGCCGGACACACCCGCGAGGCACACCTATCTAAGCACACCTGCTTTTCCGTACCATAAGAACCCCTAGTGTGTCCACACTGTTTGGGGAAAAAAGACCGCTAAAAATGCTAAAAAGTAGTGTTTGGAGAAATGGACGATGTGCAGAATAAAAAATATTTCTGAAAAAATAACGAACAGTAACTTCTCATTGGGCAAATCTCAATGGCCATAAGAGGGATGTTCCTCAAAACACAGACACCCTTCAAAAATGACTGGAACAAGTTCCAGGATGAACGTTGAGTTTATCCACATCACTGATGGGTTTGTCTCAAAAGGACGACTCTCCACACGGCTTTGATTCTTGAGAACTAGACCCAGTGGCATAGTGGGATGGAAAGAATAAGAAATAGAAATCACCTGATCAACGTAGCCCCTGCCTGCAACTTGGCCACGCGCACACGGTCGTGGCCCACAAGAACCTCGACCTCGCCCATCCTCAAGTTCCGCCACACAGGCCAATTGGAAGTGCAAGCCATCGCCTTTGGTAGGATGCCATGTAAGCAAGTACCTTACCACATTTGGAAAAAAATATTCCACATGTGAAGTACATCTTTCACCAAAGTTGGCCAACATGTGAGGGCATTTTGCCAACACGACCACCGTTCACCAACGATAGAGTTTGATCGAGTTCATCTCTTCTGTCAGATCGTGTTCTCTCAGCAACGAAAAACCGGGTTCGAGGGTCCTGCGACGCACAAATGGGACAATTCCTGCGACATGGATCGACATGGTGATGTTGCAAGTCGGAAGATGCGACAGAAAACATGGACAGGCGACCAATCACTGAGGTGCATAGCGTCAAGTACATACTTGTACCTCAACGTTTTGTGCTACCTCCAGTCGTTGAAAAGCACGGCTTTGAGAAGTTGTTCTCAACTTGTCAATACAGGGCCAATGGCAGCCAATGTCCACCCGGGCAACACCTGTGGTTTCCCTCTTCTATCTTCCAATCCACCCAGACCGAGGTGGGGATCCGTGCATGAGATAGTACATCTTCTCAGCATGGTCTCCCTGGTGCCACTTGTTGGCTGTGCAAGCCGCAACGGATGTGGCGAAAAACACCGTTTTGAGACAGCCTGAAAAATGGCTCTCTTTAAAGCCTCCCAGTGTCCATCTACAATATGAGCCTCTGCTAAAGAGATCCTGTTAAGAAAGAGGAAGTGATTCAACTGCGTTATCACTTTTGAAGGGGGGCCGATGTTGCTTCTGAAGGGCCCCAGTAACACTTTCAACATAGCTGAAAATATCAAAAAACTGCAGCGACACGGTTATCGCCTTTGACCCCTTGCTTTTAAATAGTCGCCGTACGTTTTGACGGCTGCTCGTATGAGTATATCTCAAAAGATCGCGTTCAGACTACTTTAGTGTCATCAATAACAGTATCTCGTTGATGTGGGGGTTCCTATCCTCGTTCGAATACTGATGTTGGACAAACAAATAGAGCATGCCGTAGACTACGTATAGTAAAATAAAAGTGGTTGCTCATCTGATCCTCCTACAAGAGCGGCTGACGGCTTGCTGGAAGAGATGTGTATATATATATATATATGTGCGGCCCTAAAGTAAAACCAGCTGCATTCTCCGATCGCTTGTATCGCTCAAGAAGCACTTCATCAAGCTTCGAACAAGCATAAGAAGCACTTCCCTTCCTACTGTAGATACGAGTATCAAGGAACCTACTCCCTGACGGGGAAGTTTTCTTGAAGAAGCCCGAGCAATCCTGCGTCCAGTTGCTAGTAGCTTTTGGTTCCTTACTTAATTGCGTAGGCGCCTACTTAATCAAGAAAGGAGGCAGGGTCACGGCCCACAAAAAATATGCACAGAACAATTAGGACATGAACATTGGAACAAAAAAACAAGAAGCTACTCCTCTCACCAGCTTACGAGCCCATGAGCTGCTAAACGGTGTACCTCTCGCGGTACAAACTGCACCTGCTCTACGATGATCTCATTGGCCGTGAAGAGCTCCACGGAAAGGTCTTTGATCAACCTCCCGTGTTATCAAAGGTCAGGGTTGCAGGAGGTGGCCAAGTGGTGGATCCAAAATAGGAGTGGAATGCATGAGTCCACAATGATCCACAACTCCAAGTGCGACCCAGGGGGCCAAATGCTCTAAACGAAGAGGCCAAATACACTGGGATCAGAGCGATAAGCTTTTTCCAGCATTGAAACACACCTGGTTGCTATCAATTTTCAGTTTCTATAGATCTGTCAGAACAACATGCAGGCGCAAACTTCCTTGCTGATGTCAGGTGACGTCAGCCACATGAGTAGGACTCTCAAGTCAGGAAAGTGCTGCATCCACCAAAACGTGATCGACCCCAAACCTAATGTCTCAATACCATGGGGAATGTGTCGGCCTGGTCAAGAAGGAGCCATCACACTCAGCGAAGAACGGGCTCTTCCTGAGTTTCTCCTCAGTGCGGGTCTGACTACATGGCCTCAACCGAAGAAGTGGATGAAAACAAGGCACGCACAGCTTGCACAGGCTCCCTGAAAACAGTACGTAGTTTTGCTTTTGAGCAAAATCCCACTTTGGACCCCTTCTCCACACCTCTTCTTTGGGCACCTTGCACCGCACCCCTCATCTGTGGACGGTTCCAGTCCGAGCTACATGGCTCAAGGTGCCGGCCGTGACGGAGGTGGACGCCAGAAAGCGGGACATCGGCATGGCGTCGCCGTCGCACCGTGACGCCGCGGGACGACGCCGCGGACCCGAAAGCTGGACGGGGCAGGCGGTCGCTCGGGCAAGGGGTGTTCTTCTGTCTGTGCTAGGGTGACTCTCAGTCTTTTCTCGTGCTTTTTGGGTATCGCAGCCTCAAATGATGTCCGACTTTTCGAAGGGTACCGACATGTTGATTTGCTCTGATTGCTGGCCAGACATCTGCCCACGAAAGGATGAGGAGGCAGGCCAACTTTGATGATGTCCCGCAAAAAAGCTGAGAGCCCAAATGGCTCTATTCAGAAACAGCTCGACCATTCATACACCATTCACGCCTATCAAATGTGCTTCCAACAATCACTTCATTCATGCAGACGTACTTCATTTCAAAGTGTGAATGTGACAAGGAAGTCTTAGACGCACCCATGGCTGCTTCGTCTGTCCTACCTGTCCTTCCAAAACATGTTTGCGGCACTGTCCTGGCCAAAAAATGAGAAGCTGCCTCAGCTCAGCCCCCCAGCCAGACAAGGAGGCAGGCTCAGTAGGATCAGTTGGTGGGGGAAGACCCAAAAAACCTGAAACAGCAATATATACATATCAGAATTTACAATAACCAGCTACAATCATGTTGGAGAAAACAAGACCGGAAGTATATGAGCAACAAGTACAACAGCTGAAACTATTCTTCCCGAAATGTCTGCCAAATGTGCAGTGTACTGTTCTTCGTACACTGTTGAATTATGCGGTGGATGTCAGTGTCCTTCGGACATGATGGTAGCCCACCCTAGAGTTACTAAAGTTACTAAAGCTGCCTTCTCCAACTGTATGCTATACACGAACAGGTTGAAAAGTTGAAATGACAATCAGCGCAAACTTTGAGTCACGCTGAGCATGATAAACTTTCACAGTGCCTGTTCTCTTGCTGGTGCTGCAGCATTGGCTGTCCACTGTCCACCGTGTTCTGCTGCCCACCTGGTTCCCAGGTGCAGCAAGTCGCACCAAAAAGACTCTCCACAATCATCCAAGGTACCTTCAGCCCAACAGCCAAAAAAGGTATCTCAGACGTGGCCAGAGAAAGCAGTGCAGGCACCACGTTTCCTACGGACTGGAGTGGATTCCAGCAAGGCACAACAGGGTGCGAGTGAAGGATGGAGGGGCGGCAAGCCACATCAGCCGAATGGCTGCCTTGCAGGAGGAAATGATGACTTGCTCCACTTTCTCCAAAGCAGCAACCATCATCAGGGAATTCCAGGGAGGCACATCGACATGTCCCTCTTTGTTTAGGACTTGGCATTCTGACCTCATGCTCTCGTTGAGCTCCGTCCTTGATTCAATGATGACATCATGAGCATGCTTAGAGCACCGCTGGCGAACATGCGCGTAGCGCTGGTGCCATTGATATTCAAACCTGTGGCTTGCAAGTGCGTTCCAGCTGGCCACTTTCTCCTCATCATCCATGAAACTGTGCAGCAAGCAACCAGTCATATGGGCCTGGTGCATGTGCGTGTCAGAGATGGGAGTTGTGGCATTGATGCAATGTGGCAAAAGCTGGGGAGTGCCTTTGTAGCCGGTACAAGACACCACACAGTCAAACTTTTCACCTGGAAATGCATCACAGCTCACTGTGCCATCCGCGTTCCGCAAGTACTTGAAACTGCTGGCATCTCCCTGGACACCATAGGCATGAAGCATCAGGTTCATGAACACAGCATCTGAAAGTGTGATGATGCCTCCGCGGGTCTTCTCCCTGACTTCTCACAATTTGGACTGCCCACAATATACCAATCCCAAGAATCCAAGTCTTCCAACTCGCATTCCTTCTTCCAATCTTCAGCTGTCACCTCCGCACCCAGCATGGTGAAATGCCGATGTGGGTGGAAGAACATCACGAGGCTTGAAAAGGGACTGTTGAAGCTCCGGCGCGTGTATGCAGTCGGGGATCGGTATAGGCAGCGCACGCTGTTGCGCTGGTGGGTCAAAAGCCGACAGGCATCAATGGAGGACTTGCCGCTCCCCACCAGCAAGACACCTAATTGGCGGCTTTAACCATCCCAAAATAAATAGAATATATAAACGGGATGATCCTTCCCACCTTCCCAAAGAAGACATGGAAAAGCAGAAACAGAAAGCGCCCAAACCACCACCCAGACACGTTTGCCATGCAGGCTCTCAGCATGTTGCTTCAGCTGACTGGAGTGAACTTCCACTGGGACGTTCAAGACCTGAGGATTTCCTCCATAGCCATCGAAGCCGGTGGCCTGCACGACGTGCCTGCCGAAGATGTGGCCACGACGGCCATGTTGCCCGTCTGCATCTCTTGGAATGTAGGTGACCCTTTTCAGCTTCAACTCCTCTTCCAGCGCAACGCCTGTCACTTCTCCAACGAAGTGTGCGTTCACCACGCGTCCGGCGATCTTTCCAGCGTACCGGCGCACTTGCTCACTGGAAGCTTGGTGCCTGGAATCGGTATGAGCCTCGGGCTCGTCGTAGGGAAGGCCTGGCAGAGCATAGCGATAGGTGGGAATGTGCAGCTTGACGTTGTCGGCAGCATCCCACCAAAGTCCCCCAGCGTGTTCCTCTTTTGAGACAAAGGCCATCTTGAGTGATGCATCCTTTCTCTTCAGAGCCCAGGCGATTCCCAAGCTGGTGAAGCCATATCCAATAAAGACAATGTCAAACTCGCTCTCAACCTACAAGGTTGTTCAAATGTTTGGACATGTTTGAACTTTCTTTGCCTTTGCTTGGGCACCGTGTGTCTGTGTGCATGTTTATGATGCACGCTTACACAAAACTGGTTTTCTTTGGCATGCACAGCTTTCTTGCGCCTTCTTCTGCAAATTACATGTTTTAAACAGAGCTATTCTCCCTTACTCACCTCCAAGTGGTTCTCAACCTGATCTTCATGGGTGTTGTCAAGATCGTCAAGGCATGTAGACCCGGCAGACGTGATGCGTGACAAGCCCACGTCTTTCGTTGCCAACAAGCTCTCGATGCTTTTGAGCTGATCTCCATTCCCACCGGTGTCTTGGAAGTCAGCGCACAAAGACATGTGTCTTGGCAGGATTGAACAGGTCGAAGTCAGCTTAAGGTTCTGCGGGCCAAACGGCTAACAGAGAAGGTGCGACATCCAGAAGGGAGAGTGCAGTGCGACAAGGAGCTTCTCCGAGTCTCTGCCGGCCTGCTTGTCTCTCTGGTCTTCAAATAGCTGATTCTTGCCCTGTGGAATTGAGGGAAGGGATGCAGAAACAAAGGCAAGTTGCTGTTGGAGATGGGTCCTTTCTTTCTTTGCGGCACGCATGTCATGTTTGTTCGTTTTTTGAGCTCAGGAGTGGAACATGACCTCCTCCTCATACTCGTAGCCCACCTGGTCAAGCTGCACTTCTATGAGCAGAGTTCACGTTGGAAGATCCCTGAAAATGCCCAACTGATGTGTCTGGCGACGGCGAGACAGAAAACCCAACTTGGGCATGTGGACGGTGCATCGACTCGTCACCAGTGTCACCACTGTTTGTGAAGCAACGTACTGTAAAACAAAAGAAAGGAACTAGGTACTTGTAGTCATGTCGAAGCTCCCAAAAGTATTGGTCAACTGGGACCATTCGCTGTCAACGGCTGTCGTACGGCTGTTTGGGGCTCCTCACCTTTGGGGAGGCGCCGATTGGCTTGAACTCAACTTCGCGGCCTGCTTTCGGCCGTGGCCAAGGGTGGAATGGACCCAAGGGTGGTGGGTGGAGTGAACACCCGAAGCTTCGCACCAAAAGTTCAGACCAAAACCGGTCAAATGGGGGCCCATTGAAAGAAAATGAAGACAGAACGATGCAGATTCTACTTCAGCTCTGCTACCGGGAAAACCGAAACACACACCTGCATTCTCGCCTGGTCGTCTGTGACCTTGAAAGAGTTGATTCTTGTCCTGTGACCGAAACAGCGGGCGCGGTCGTCTGGTCGTCCATCGTCCGGTCGGTCGTCCAGCCGGTCGTCCGGTCGTCCAACCGGTTTGGCTCCGTCCTGGTCACCACTACAGAAGAGGCAAACCATGCAAACGATCAGGCCAATCCTCGATCCAATGCGTGATACGCGCAATGATCACGCATGTGCACGACCCGCGGAAGGATCCATGGGCTGGGAGGTGGTGTACATGGCTTAGGTAGGTAGCCAAATGTGACATCGTTAAGTTTGAGCTGGAAGTAGACGGAAGGATAAGTTCTGCTTGCAGTATCAAAGGCCCACCACTTGGGAATGTCAGAGGTGGAGCGAAGCAAACCGAGTAAAATTGTATTGAAACTGATTACAGTATGTGAATCAACAAACAAGGTGTTAGTGGGCATGTCTTCCACCTTCGAACATAGCTGTTAGGCTTGAAAAAGCAAGCCCAAGCCGGTCCAAAGCACAAATCACTTGCCAAGAGCTAGTAAAATCGATTTCGCTGCACTAATCAGACACTTCACCACTTATCATGGATGAGTAAGTCAGGATCCATCGTACGGCCGGTTTCTCACTTGCCATAATCCCAGTAACTACTAGCGTGGCACTTGTTCCTAATAGCTTATTGTGACTACTAGTAAGGCACCTGTTACTACTAGCGTGGCACTTGTTACTAGTTGGTGGCCGCACCCTCCACAAACCAGGAAGGCGAAGGTCATGGCCTGAAACGGAGGCTCCCTCCGATCGACTAAGGGGGCGGGCCCGAAGCGCCGCCTGGGTCGGACAGCCTTGATATAGAATTGGAGTTTAACAGTTCTGACATGTTCTGACTCTAAATTCGAAGTCTGTCGTTCCATGACACGACATGATTCTGTTCGTTCTGGCTTCCCCTGGCAGAAAGGATATCCGGCGCGTCTCACCTGTGGAGTGCCCTCAACACCAAGTCATGATGTGGATGTCTCGAAGTGTCAAACATACGAATTTGATGTCAGTCAAAACCCAAATGCCCCTCTCACGGACTCATGAACGTTCCCAGAAGTCAACAGATCTCACCAATCTCAGTGAAGACCTCAGCTCCTCAATTC